AATTCTATCGTAAGTGAGTTTCACTGTGTTCCGATAGGCTATTTATGGGCGATATTTTCTCGTTTTGTGATGTCTCGGAAAGATAACATAAATCCATTGAATGGACGTTAACAACGCGGTGAAAAATAATTTACATATTCATTCATTCACCGAAATAAACGAATTATCATCACAATACTCATCTCATGCCCAATGTGCCTGATCACCATTAGTCTATGAATAATCACCTCGCTATTCCATTTCACTTCAATCCTTCACTCAACCTTCTACAACTGTCGATCACTTCCATCAACTCTCATTCGACATTTTCAGTGATGTCACTCGGTGTTCAATGCATTATATCAAAATAATCTTTATTGATATGCAACTGTTAATGTGCACAAATCAAATGTGTTCATCCCTGCTGATTAACATTACAGTAGATTCACATTGATTTCCGATCTGAATCCCCATTGTTCTGTAAAACCCGTAGATCATCACGTCGCTTATCACTACTAGTTGTGTATTAATCATTCATCATCCACTGTCTGACGAAAGGAGCAGAAATCAATTTTCGCACATTGTGAACGCATTCTGAATTGGATACAGGAAATTCTCTCGAATGTTTCACTGCAAAACCACATAAAGTATTTGCAACAAAAATCTAAAACTAGTTACATACTGCCCCGTAAGCATTACTGCTCGTTAACTCTTTACTATACGATAGAAGCCATTCACGAACAANATGAACACATTTGATTTGTGCACATTAACAGTTGCATCCAATTGCCATCGTGATCAATAAATTGTTGACTAGGGTTCAAAGCTCCAAGAGTGGATCCATGCATAAGCTTACACTCTCCTTTAATGGTATGCAATGGCTGTGTAACATGATGTCAGCGAACAGAAGAATGAATACTATTCATATTGAATTTCGTAAAATCTGTAAGCGTCATAAATTAATGAATTTCGCATGTACGATAGGTGTGATTCAGTTTGATATGTTAACGGTAGACGTTGGAGAGCATTTCGAGCAGTGTAAACGAAGTTAAAGCTATTCACTTATTCGAATTAATCATCAAAAATAAGCAGTATATTTCTACTAATGACTCAATCGGTCCACACATCGATCAAGCGAACACTTATATGTGGTTAGCAGTTGATTGCTAAGTGAAAGTCATCGTTCAGTGTATGTGAGCTATCCAAGTCATTCATCTCGAATTCATCAAATTTCACCCCAAAATCGTAAGTAATCAAAACGCTGACACATTGATAGAGAAGTATTAAGGAACAATAATATTGATCTCAATATGATCAAATATGCTTTCGTCTGTATATGTTGGAGCGATTCTACGGCGACCGTATCCATATAAACTGTACAATAGCTGAAATCTACGACACGATATTGTTTGGGTGGGGATAAACAAGTTTCGTTGACGTTAGCCACCATTAAATGAATTATTCATTTATTCCGATAAATGAATGTAAACATGTTTATCGTTTT